TTATTTTCCAACATTTTTACTCATTAATGGATATGACTTCAAATGTAAGTGAGTAAATTTAATCAAAACAAATTCAAGTAAAAGTAAAGTTCAGGTTTTGTAAACAATTTAAAGGACAATTTAGACAAATTGTAAATACATCAATAGATATAAATGTAACTACTGTCCACCCTGTATGGCAGAATATATATATTTTTCCCATTGTGAAGTGTTTCTAGTTTCTGTGTTATCCATACAGGTATGCAACAGTACAGTAAAACATTAATGTTTTTATTTGTTTTGATTTGCACAATGAGGCACAGATGATTTTCGTCATAGTACCAGCAAGAATTTAAAACTACTTTCATTACCACTGTTATTACTAAATACATGAAGCTTCATAAATACGAAGTTCATCACTTCCAATAACCTACTTTAAGTATTTCTAGATGTGATTTTTTTTTGTTTTTTGTTTTTGTCCATTTTAATTTCCAAGAATTTCTACATGAACATATTCTTCTCTGCTTGTGTCTGGGTCTTTATGCAAATATCTGGTGTAAAGCAGCTTTTCAAAAAATCTCTGTGCTGTTCTTTCACCCAGATCCACACCTGTTTATCTATGGGTGTTGCTGTTGGCTTGGGGAAGATGAAACTCTCTAGTGTCCCGAATTCTTGCATTAGTGTCCTAAAAAACCAGGATGTTGCCACTAACTTCAGCTCTGGTCTCCACCAGCACTTCACAGAGGTTTCAGGAGGAAATGGTTGGTTGGGGGAGTTTTCAATTTCCCAAAATGATTCCATGGGCTTCATGAAGTGGCTAAAGAGCCTGAAAGAACATCCAGATGTTGTTTCGTACTCCCTTCGATCTCTCTATCATCTCATGCCGAATGAGCTCCTAAAGGCAGCAGTGAAAGCTGCTATTGAGCAGTATTTGAAGGACAATGCTTTGAAGAAATCACCCGAAGAGCCACACTGTGAGGGATCTACTCCTGATTTGTCCTCTAACTGTTGCCCTCTGCACGCCTCAAGGGGAACTCTAGCAGTGAGCATTGTTCAAGGCTGGAATCTATATGGAGATGTCATTGGAAAAACTGATGGGTGGGTTGAAGCAAAGGTAAAAAAAAAAAACAAAGACCTTATGGAACCTGATGAGCACACCTTTTATATGGCTCCTCTTTTGTTCACAGCTATGCCAAGATCTACTATGGTTCCATACAACGCAAGACCCAAGTCATCGAATCCAATAATCCGTGGTGGAATGCTTGGTTTCTTTTTGGCAAGGTCAGTAAACCAGCAGCCACAATAACAAGAAAAGAGCACCTCCCTTTAGGCCCGACTCGTTCTTGTTTCGGTTCTCAGAACCAACCTGGGTGTCTGTGGACATGCGGCTCCCACACTCACTGCTCTGCTTAACCTGTTGTTGAGACAGGAAGTGCTGACCCTCTCTTATTGCTCTTACAAATTAATCATGAGCATAAAAACTTGGCTTTCCAAACAACAAATGTACGAAATGAACCTTCAATGTCAAAGTAAAAACTTTTCTCCCAATTCTTTTCTCTGTCTTACTGATTGCTTAGTTTTTATTTTTAAAAACCTGTTTGAAATAAATAAATAAATCAAATAAGACAAATCAAAGTATAAAATGATATGTAATGCAGACAAACTGCATATTCTGAACTTGGGGAATGGACAATCAACTCCATTTCTAGATCCAAGCCAGGCTGCAGACTCTTTATGTTTTGGGATACTGGGTCAGCACCTGCATGAAAAAGTATTTGGTTTTACTTGAATAGACCATGCACATTTCATGGTGTTTATGTTCGAGTACAAATAAAATTAAAAGCAGAAAAAAATCTGAAAATATTTGAACAGAAACCATTTTACACATATATTGTGTAAACAGACACAGCCTAGCTGATGTACTTCATATCTTGTGCTGTTGTGTTTTGGCTAACATTACTCTGCATTTATCAACTTCTCAGATGCGTGGAAAACAGTTTTATTTTCTATATCACCTAAATGATTTGACTATGAATGGGAAAATATGCATCTGAATGATCCTCCATTCAAATTTTCTCATGAAGGTTGACACAAGCCTGGAATTGAAGATTGAGGTTTGGGATCAGGACTCGAAATATGACGACCTTCTCGTACAGTGCGCAAAGTACCTGAGCCCTGGCACTCACACTTTCACGTGCAAAGGAAAGCTTGGAAACGTTCAGGTTAACTATACACTGAAATGTGACCCGTATCTGACTGGAGAAAAGTGCAGCCATTATAAACCATCTCCTTAGTTACATGAGATTGGTGTAGCATTTCATTTCATCACATAACTCACTAAATCTGGTAGAAACTCACAATTTAAACATAATTGCTCAACTTCATTAAAGACCTAGCCACATATGTATTTCTCATACAATGACAAAAAAGTAAAGATTTTGTGTAACATTTAATCACAAGAAATAACTATGCTTTAATATATACAACCAGAAAGTGTGTTCCCTTTAATGACAATAAAATTTTGAAACTGCTACAAGTTGTTGACT